TGTAGACATCATTCCTGTAAATCATATGTTTCCCTATGACAGTGAAACTTCTTTGCCTTTCCATTTGTTTTACGTACATCCATAAACCTTTATTAGTACTATTTCAATTTCACAATTATGTTTGTATGTAGGTCTTAGGGTGATACTAACTGGGTTAGGGAAACAATGCCATATGTTTAGTGACTGTGTGGCACCAATGCAGTTCCTTAGCATCTCTTTGTCTCAAGGTCCTTATATGTGTAACTGTGAGAATAATTTTACTGGGCTGAGAGTGCAGCTCAATTGAAAGAATGCCAGCCTAGTGAGCTCAAGGCCCTAGCTCCAACCCAAGTGCAACCAAATTGACCAGTTTCACAGTGTATTTGTATGAGTTTTAAGCCTCTTCTTCTATGGCTATGGCAGATGGCAGTCCTGAGTTTTCATCATCTCACATGTCATTGAGTCTTATTTCAGAACAGGTCACAACACCTTCCTCTTTGATCATACATATCCAGATGCTTTTTTCTCCTCCTCATATTGTCAAAAATTGTCTTATAAAAGGGAGAATTTAATCTCATCCTCCTCCTACTCCTCCTCCTCCTCCTCCTCCTGCTCCTGCTCCTCCTCCTTCTCTTTCTTCTATTCCTCCTCTTCCTTATTCTTTGTTCAAAGACTCCATTTTGAGGAGGTTAAATATATTCCACAAATAGAAAGCCATTTTAAAATAAGATGATTTAATTATAATCTGTTGATCCATATAATTAACCATTCTAAGAAGATTAGGAACAAGATAATAGCTGTATAGTAGTGGAAAATATTTAAAAATTCCACATCTATTCATGACCATTCTAAAGGTATTCATGTCTAATAAAGACAGAAATAATGGAAAAATATCTTAGTGGTTTAAAATATAGGTAAACATCTATGACAGATACCATACTCAGTGGTGAAATAATTTAACGTTTTTCCCATCACACTGTATTGAATGCTGAAATGTTCACTATCATTTCTTTACATACAAAATTATTAAGTGTGTCCTCCAAATTCTACAAAGCAAGAAAGAAAAGAGGATATTAAATTGAGAAATGAAATAGGAAATTATCTTTATTTGCTGATGAAGACAATAAAAATAAACTATTAGAAATAATAAAAACTATGTAAAGTCTGTGGAAACACAGTGAATAGAGAACTAACCCTTTTATATTAAAGGAGACATAGCTACTTAAAAATCTTTCCCTTTTCATGAATCAGAACACAACATCATGATAATTTTCTCTAATTAGAAATATAGAATTAATACAATGCAAAAATAAAAATCCCTAAAAGAATATTTAAAGTAGGAAATATAAATCTAGAATTCCCATCGCAATTCAACGAACAGAAAATCTTAAGTTCAGAAATTTGCCATTATGTCTTCTGACTTTATTTTCCTTCTTTGCTTTAAAGCTACCATGGTGCAACTCAATAATAACAATAAAGAATGGACAGGAGCTGAAGAGCTGAGGAACAGCACCCAGGCCCAGAGTTCAAGCTGCATGACTGACCAAAAAAAGAAAAAAGAAAAAGAAAAAAAATTAAACAAATGGACACCTGTGTCTCACATATATGATCCTATCTACTCAGTAGGCTGAGATGCAAGGATTGCAATTTGAAGACAGCCCAAGCAAGAAAGTCCATGAGACTCTTAGTTCCAAAATCTGCAAGTGAAGATGTGGCTAAATTGGTATAGCAGAATGATAGACTTGAGCACAAAATGTAAGGGATGCAACTCAGGTCCTGATTTCATACCCCAGGAAGAGTACAGAGAGAGACAGAGACAGAGGCAGAGAGACAGAGACAGAGAGAAACAGAACCAGAGCCAGAAACAGAAACAGAAACAGAAACAGAGACAGAGTTAAATCATTTTATGTAGGTACCAATGGCTAATACCTATAAACCTACACTACATACTCTTGAGCATGAGATATCAGAATAGTTGCTCAAAGACAGCCTGAATAAGAAAGTCTATGAGATTCTTGTATCCAATTAATAACTAAAATGTTAGAAATGGAAGTGTGCCTCATGTAGTAGAGCAATAACTTTGAAGGATAAAGCTAAAGTCAATACCAAGACTCTGAGTTCAAGACTGAAGTACAAAAACTAAATGGAAGGAAGGAAATAAGGAAGGAAGGAAGGAAGGAAGGAAGGAAGGAAGGAAGGAAGGAAGGAAGGAAGGAAGGAAGGAAGGAAGGAAGGAAGGAAGGAAGGAAGGAAGGAAGGAAGGAAAGAAGGAAGGAAGGAAGAAAAATTTTTCAACATATAAATATTTGGTATGGAGAACACAAAGTGAGTTTTTCCCCAGACAGAATTACTGAGAGTGCATAAAAGATCTAAGTAGAACAAGACTTTGTTTCAATGTATTTATGAAATACTGGTAACATCAATTGTTTCTGTACATTATACATTTGGAAATAAAAATGTCTTCTATATTCAAATGTTCTCCAGGGACAAGCATACTCTGCAGACAAATTTTTGTTTCTCTTGTCTGGTTGGAACACCTGTGGAAGCAAGGCCTGTGGTGATTCTTTGAGTTGAGCCAACCCTGCAGCTGTGCCCAGCCCTGCCCACAACCTGCTGATTTCCATGTTCCCAGAGCACAGCCCACTGCCTTGAACACTTCTTCATAGGCTGCTTACTCTGTGCAGCATTCAGTCCCAGTCAGCACACAGCTTGGACATGAGGACCCCTGCTCAGCTCCTGGGGCTCCTGCTGTTTTGCTTCCCAGGTAAGGAAGGACAATCCTGGGGATTAACCAACCCAGCCTAATACAGTCAGGGCTGTCTGGTACTTCAATGAAGGCCTCCTATTACATGCTTATCAAAGAGGATATATGTTTTTATGTTCCCACTGCCAGGTGCCAGATGTGACATCCAGATGACCCAGACTCCATCCTCCCTGTCTGCATCTCCAGGAGACACAGTCACCATCAATTGCAGGGCCAGTCAGGGCATTAGCAGTTGGTTAGCCTGGTATCAGCAGAAAACAGGGAAAGCTCCCAAACTGCTGATATCCAAAGCATCTAATTTAGAATCAGGTGTCCCATCCATATTCAGTGGCAGTGGATCTGGAACAGAGTTCACTCTCACCATCAGCAACCTGCAGCCTGAAGATTTTGGTACTTATTTCTGTATGCAGCATAGCAGCTATCCTACCACAGTGATACAAGTCATGTCAAAAACCTCCAAGGGAAGCAGAAGTAAGACACTGGGCTGCCCCAGCTGCTGCTCCTGCAGCCTCCACCTGCTGACAGTGCTGCTCAGATGCATTTCTGAGGGTCACTGGAAGATTTGGTAGAAGTGTCTGGGCAGACTTCCTCTACTCTAGCTCTCTTTTTGTAGCAGTACAAACATGCCAATGCCTCTTCTGATTCAATAGAGCACAGAAATGATCACGTGGGAGGAGTCTGTGAGAGCATTACCTGGGGTTCATTTGTAAAGTAGAAAGAAGCCAGCTAATCCAATTGGTTATATTTAATACGAGAAATTTATTCTAAGCTTCTGCCATTCAAGGATTGGGTTACATTACAGAGTAAAGCTAAACATACAAATGGAGTGTTCTCAGGTGTTCCTCAACCCCAGATGATCCACCTTTGAAACTAGAGGTCTCCTTACTTAGGTCCTTGCCCTGTCTAGACACCCAGGGGTGGGTGCCAACCTTCTCAACTGCTTGTAAATCCTGACAGGTGACTTCAATCCTCCCCTCCACCCCAGTGTCTGCTGCAGATTTCAGTGCATTCTAAAACACACTCTTCTAACTTTAGATCTTCATGAGGACTCCTCATGCAGAAACTCTACAGGAAATACTGGTGAAAATGGCTTCCAGAAGTAAATGATGGGAGAAGTTGCACACCACAGCAAAACAATTATTACAACAATCTACTCCCCACTCCATTGCTATGTTAGAAATCATCAAGTTGTGTACTGGTGGATTGGCTTCCTGATTTTTTTAAATGGGCTTGACCTGGGGCTTGGACGCAGGGCCTAGCTGCTAATCCTGAGGTTTGTGTGCTCAAGGCTAGCACTCTACCCCTCGAGCCACAATTCCACTTCTGGCTTTTTTGGTGCTGAATTGGATATAAGAGTCTCACAGACTTTCCTATCCAGACTGACTTCAAATCTCAGTCCTCAGATCTCAGATTCCTGAATAACTAGGATTACAGGAGTGAGGCACTGGTCCCTGTAAGGTCTGCCTTGGGAAAACAGAGAAGACTCCTCCCTCCCCTTGGCTAAGTCTCCAACCATTACCTGCATCACCTAGGTAACTGGCACACTTGGAGGCAACCATCACCTCCCCTCCCTGAGGTCACATTCCCATCCAGTGTGACCATGCCTTCTTCTTCCTCTGGCCTTTATAGGTCCTGGTTGAGCTGTGGTTCAACCCCTTTATCTGGCTATATGGACTTCCAAGGTGACCAGAGGCAGCCTGCAGCTCAAAATAATCCTTTCCCAGGGCTGACAAAGTGGCTCAGTGGTAGAGTGCTTGCCTTGCATGCCTGAGACCCTGGGTTTGCTTCCTCAGCACCACATAAGCATAAAGAAAAAAGCCGGAAGTGGCACAGTGGCTCAAGTGGTAGAGCGCTAGCCTTGAGCTGAAGATCTGAGGGACAGTGCCCAGGCCCAGAGTTCAGGCCCCATGCCCAGACCCAAAAAAATAAAAAATAAAAAAATAAACCTTTCCCCTGCCTGAATTCCATGTGTTGCACTCTTTCCTCAGCTGCAGATTTAATTTACCTAACAGTTTCTAGGTTCTGGCCATTCTTTATTGTTATTATTAAGGAGTTGTACCATGGTAGCTTTAAAACAAAGAAGGAAAATAAAGTCAAAAGACATAATGCCAGATTTCTGAACTTAAGATTTTCTGGGAGGGGCTGAGTTAGTTGAATTGCAATGGGAATTCTAGATTTACATATCCTACTTTAACTATTTTTTAGAGATTTTTATTTTTGCATTGTGTTAATTCTATATTTCTAATTAGAGAAAATTATAATGATGTTGTGTTCTGATTCATGAACAGGGACATATGTTTATGTAGTTATGTCTCCTTGAATCTAAAAGGGTTAGTTCTCTATTCACTGTGTTTCCACAGACTTTACATAGATTTTTTTTTTTTTGGGTCCGGTTGTGGGGCCTGAACTCGGGGCCTGGGCACTGTCCCTCAGCTGTTCAGCTCAAGGCTAGCACTCTACCACTTGAGGCACAGCGCCACTTCCAGCTTTTTCTCTTTTTGCTTATGTGGTGCTGAGGAATCGAACCCAGGGCCTCGAGCATGCAAGGCAAGCGCTCTACCACTGAGCCACCTTCCCAGCCCCTTTACATAGATTTTTATTATTTCTCAGAATTTATTTTTATATTCCTCATCAGCAAATAAAGACAATTTCCTACTTTACTTCTCAATTTATTATCTTCTTTTTGTTCTAGCTTTGTAGAATTTGGAGGACATGCTTAATAATTTTGTATGTAAAGAAATGATAGTTAATGATGGGAGAAATGTTAAAAGATTTCACCACTGATTATGATATTTGTCATAGAGTTTTACACATTTTAAATTACTAAGATATTTTTCCATTGTTTCTGTCTTACTTAGACATGAATACCTTTAGAATGATCATGAATAGATGTGGAATTTTTAAATATTTTCCACTACTATGCAACTATTATCTTGTTCCTAATCTTGTCAGAATGGTTAATTATATGAATCAATAGATTTTTTTTAATTGTGAAAATACTGTACAGAGGAGTTACAATTGCACAGTCAAGGTAATGAGTACATTTCTTATCAAGCATTGTTGCCTCCTCCTTTTTTCCCCTTCCCATCCCTTCCCATCTCCCCCTCACCCCCCCCCACCCACTCCCCCCTTCCCCACCCCTCCTCAGCCCAAAGTTGTAAAGTTCTCAATAGATTAATTTTAAATCTTCTAATTTTAAAATGGCATTCTATTTGTGTAAATATATTTAACTTGCTCAAAATGGATTCTTTGAGCAAAGATGGAGGAAGAAAAGGAGGAAAAAGAGGAGGAGAACCAGATTAAGTTCTCCCTTTTATATGAGAATTTTTGACAATGTGAGGAGGAGAAAAAAGCTGAAGCATCTGGATATGTATGATCAAAGAAGAAGTTGTTGTGACCTGTGCTGAAATAAGACTCAAAGACGTGTGAGACAGTGAAAACTCAGGACTGCAATCTGCCATAGACATAGAAGAAGAGGCTTGAAACTCATACAAATACACTGTGAAACTGGTCAGTTTGGTGGCACTTGGGTTGATCTAGGGCCTTGAGCTCATTAGGCTGGCATTCTCCCAACTGAGCTGCACTCTCAACCCAGTAAAATTATTCTCACAGTTACACGGGCAAGGACATTGAGAAAAAGAGAGGCTAAGGAACTGCACTGGTGCCACACAGTCACTAAACATATGGCGTTGTGTCCCTAACCAGTTTTCATAACCCCAGGACCTACATGAGAAGAGTTAAACTGTATACAAACATAATTCTGAAACAAATAGAACTAATAAATGTTTATGGACGTACATAAAACAAATGGAAAGGCAAAGAATTTTCACTGCCATAGGGAAACATATGACTTAGAAGAATGATGTCTACAATCTCACACAAGAGGCAAAGTGCTGTTCAGGTTTCAGAAGGGGATGGTCTTGGGCAAAGCATGGCTACCCAATAAACACAATTTGGAGAATCTGGAAAATACAGCCTGGATTCCTTGTAGACCAGGACAATGAACATGTTTCCTTACAGTAAAACTAGAGTGATGGATAATGAAATCTTCAGAGAAATGGTGTCATTCACTCTAGGGTCAGATATAAAACCCACTTCTTTGCCATTGAACCAAATACACACACACACACACACACACACACACTAGTATGGCCAATAAAATGATGCTGTTTACTAATTCTGTTAAACAATGAGGAAGTTTCAAGGCCCTCAAGGAAGATCACTCAGCAGCAAATGTAAGATATATCAATATTAGCTTCTGGTCAATTCTTTGTTTAACCTCATCCAGTCATACACTAAAGAAATACCTGGAAGATTTGGTGCTAGAAGTAGTGAAATAAAACTAGCATAATTACTCTGTCCACAACTTGTCAAATACCGTCTGGCTGATTTTACCTGATAGATGAGTTACAGGGTCATCGGGACTAAAGTCTACCATCAGGCTAAGGTGAGGTATTTTCTCACATTCTCCTCCTATTCTGTCCTGCTGTCAAGAACTCATATCAATGTCAAAGAAGAGGTCTGGGCAGATCTTCCTCAGGTGGGACCCAGAGTGAACCATGGAAGCCCAAGCTCTGCCTCTCTGCCTTCTGTTACTCTGGCTCCCAGGTGAGAAAACAAGAGATAACAATGACCTCTGCTCTGCAACCAGAGTAATGAAACCTCCATATAGATCGACCACACTCATTCTACAAGGAGACATGTTTGATGAGATGGCCATGGCTGACTTTTCTATTTTCAACCTCAGATACCACTAGAGAAGCTCTACTGATGCAATGTATAGCATTCTGGTATTGGTCTCCAGGAAAAGCAGACAATATCACCTGCCAGGCTAGTCGAAGTGTTAGCTCCCACTTGGCCTGGTACGAACAGAAACATGGGCAGACTCCCAAACTCCTTATCAATGGGACAAACAACAGAGTCACGGGCATCCCTGCCAGGTTCAGTGGCAGTGGATCAACCAGACTTTACTCTTAACATCAGCAGCCTGGAGGCTGAGGATGCTACAGTTCATTACTGCTATCAGTATGATAATGGGTGTTCCACAGTGATACAGCATAAAACAAAATCCTGAGCATTGTTTTTGCAAACCAGCCACTTCCTTTGTAGGCAGATGGTTTGGTGGTTGCTCGGTTCTGGCATGTCTGCCTTTATCTTGGAATCTGCTGTTTCTGAAAAATAAAATAGAATAAAAATAAAACACCACAGCAACAGCACTCAGGCCTTGAGTTCAAGGAGCTACACACACACACACACACACACACACACACACACACACACACACAGAGTACTAGAGCATCCCTAAGAGTAAAGATTAACTTTATCACATCTGCCATTTGATCCTGTAAAACATTCAGGTACCTGTAACACAAAAATTTCTACAATGTCTCTCAGCAACCTGACCATATTTTTTTCTACTATTATCTCCCACAAAGAAAGACCCAGAAATCCATGTACATGAATGACTTCCTGTTCCCTACAAATCCTACCAGGACTAAGTGGAGAAATGCAATCTCTCAGGCAGAGAGGAAGGATGGAAATTCAGGGTTGTGTGAGAATGCAGCTGTCCACACATCAAGGCCCACTGACCCATGGCCTAGAGAGGAGATTTGTGATCAAAGCTGAAGCACTCTGAGAGGGTAGCTATAATACTGTTGACAGTAATAATCTGCCACATCTTCAGCCTGCATACTGCTGATAGTAAGGATAAAGTCTCTCCCAGATACACTGCCAATAAACCTGTCAGGGACTCCACATCACCAGAAGTATGTGCCATAGATTAGCAGGTTAGGAGCCTGTCCTGCTTTCTGCTGATAGCAGAATATGTAATTGTTAAGCCTCTGACTGGATTACAGTTCATGTGGCCCATTCTCCTACTGACACAGCCAGAGAGCATGGAGACTGAGTCATCATGATGTCCTCACAGACACCTGCATTCACAAATTGACTCTGGTCATTCATACACGCACACACATTCAAACTTCATCATGTGTACTTTGAAACATACCATTTAAATGCACCTTCACTAAGAGACAGCATGTAATTGTGCCCATAACAGAAATAGTCATTACTTCTTACTACCTCTTTTTAAATTTTATTTTGTGTTCTTTTTATAATGGTGATGTATGGAGGGGTATACAAGAACGTACTGAGGGAGCTGAGGTACATAAAAAAGATATTGAGTACATTTCTTTTTGGATAGTGTCACCACTTACCTTGCCTTCCCTCCCAGTTTTTCCCTCCCATTCACACCCACAAATTGCATCCACCTATTATCTAATTCATTCCACATAGCATCCAGTATCCCTGCTGCATTTGTTTATACTTTGCAGCTCCATCTCTGTGACCCCTTTAACCTCCAAAAGACAAATAAATGAATGGACAAAACAAAAGGAACAGAAACAACAACAAAGAAAATGCTTTTGCTTCCATTCAAACCCTTTTTCATCTCTACAAAAGGTAGTAAATGCATCACAGCAGATAAGTTCTCACTAAACACCCAGAGAAGCAGGGTGATGAGGACCTGGCTTCTCCAGCTCAACTTCTTGCTCCTGCCTGCCTGATGCAGCTCTCTGCTCAAGGCAAAGTCTCACATATAAAACCTGCACAGCTGGGCCAAGCCTCCAGGGACCCATGCAAAATGGTCAGGAAGTAAGGAAAGAAATCTGTGGGCTGTGAGCTGTGAACATACCTGATGCAGGATCCCAAGGATACCAATACAGACAGTGTAACTGTGTGACTAGAAAACCACACAGACATCAATTTGGACATTGTAAGAGCAACTTAGAAGCTTTTCCATCCCACTCTCTTAGATGAATTAATTAAGAGCTCCTATTTTAACTCAAAGATAATTTGAAATGGATTCACTATTCCAAAAGAACTCCAAATTCTAATTGCTAATCTCCTGAAATTAATAATTTTAATTGAATAATAAATCATTGGAAAAAAAGAGAGCAATGAGGAAGGAAGGAAGGAAGGAAGGAAGGAAGGAAGGAAGGAAGGAAGGAAGGAAGGAAGGAAGGAAGGAAGGAAGGAAGGAAGGAAGGAAAGGAGAAAGAGAGAGAGAGAAAGAAAAGTATGTTACTAGTAGCAGCTGAGGGGTTCTTTTTTATATTGTGAAAATACAGTACAGAGGAGTTACATTTACATGGGCAAGATAATGAGTATATTTCTTATGAAGCATTGTTGCTTCATCCTTCTTTGTTTCCTCTTCCTATCCCTTTCCATCCCCCACCAGTCCCCGATCCAGCTTCCATCTGCCCCCCCAACCCGGGCCAAATTTGTAAAGTTCATTTTTTAACATAACGACTTGTACTTTTCATTTTTGCAAAGGGTCCACCTGTATCTCTAGTTAAACAATTTTTTTCCCTTCCCTACCATTAATTATACCACCATCAAATACAGTGAAAGCAGGGGTTATATTGTGGGGGAGGGACATACAAAGCAACAAAGAAATGATTTTATTAATATGATAGAAAAAATGCATGAAAGAAAAAACATTTGAATACATATCTTGGGGATCATTTCGCCTAACATCAACTTATCTGACCTTTTCTGCTTATCTCAGACATATACAAGTTATTGCAAATAATGGAAACCATGGAGCCTATGATTCTTTGAGCCTGGCTTACTTCACTTAATATATTTTTTTCCAAGCCTTTCCATTACCTAACAAATGGGACAATGTCATTCTTTCTGATGGAGGCATAGAATTCCATTGTGTATATATACCACATTTTCTTGATCCATTCATGTACTGAGGGGCATCTGGGTTGGTTCCATATCTTAGCTATGGTAAATAATGCTGCAATAAACATAGTCGTGCTGGAAGCTTTAGTGTGGTCTTGTTTGTGAACATTTGGTAAATGCCCAAAAGTGGGATTGCTGGGTCATAGGGGAGCTCTATGTGGAGTCTTTTGAGGAACCTCCATACTGCTTTCCAATGTGGTTGAACAAGTTTACACTCCCACCAACAATGCAGTAAGGTTCCCTTCTGTCCACATCCCCTCCACCATCTGTTGTTAATAGAGTTCTTGATTAGAGCCATTCTAATCTGCATGAGGTGGTATCTCAATGTTGTTTTGATTTGCATTTCTTTTATGGCTAGGGAGGTTGAGCATTTCTTCATGTGTCTATTGGCCATCCTTCTTTCCTCTTCAGAGAAGTTTCTCTTTATGTCTTTAGCCCACTTTAAATTATTGGGAAGTTATTTCTTTGAAGATTTGTTGTTGGGGGATTTAATTTTGTGAGTTCCAGGTATATTTTTGTTATGAGACCCTTGTCTGTTGTATGGCTAGTGAAGAACTTCCCCCAATTCGTGGGCTTTGTGTTGCTCTTGCTAGGAATATCCTTTGCCATGCAGAACCTCTTCAATTTCATGCAATCCCATTTGTCCAACCTTTCTTTGATTGGTTGTGTTTCTGGGTCTCTATTAAGAAAATTTTGGCCTTTGCCAAGGAGACCTAGGGTTTCTCCTATTCCATCCTGTAATGTTTTCAGAGTGTCTGCTTTGACTCCGAAGTCTTTGATCTATTTAGAGTTGATACTAGTGCAGGGTGATATATAAGGATCTAGCTTTAGTTTTCTAAAGTAGTTAACTAATTGTGCCAGCACCATTTGCTGAAGAGGCTGTCTTTCTTCCATTCTGTTTTTTTAACTCCCTTAGTACTAAGGTGTTTTGAAAACTATGGCTTTATTGTAGAGTTTGAAATTTGGTGTTGATTTTCCTCCAGCAGTGTTCTTACTGTTGAGGATCGTTTTTTGCTATTTGAGGTCTTTTATTGTTCCATATGAATTTTTGGATTGCCTCTTCTATTTCCTTGAAGAATGAGGTCAGAATTTTGATAGGTATCACATTGAATTTGTAGATAGCCTTGGGAAGTATTGCCATTTTCAAGATATTTATCTTTCTAATCCAGGAGATTGGGAGTATTTGCCACTATCTAAGTTCTGTTTTGATTTCCTTCTTCAAGGTTTTAAAGTTTTCATCACAGAGGTCCTTCACTTATTTGGTTAACTTAATTGCTAGGTATTTTATTTTTTGTGGGGCTATTATGAATGGAGTTGCTTTCCTAATTTCAGCCACACTTTTCTCACTGTTGACATACTGAAAAGCCATTGATTTCTGAGGGTTAATTTTATAACCTGCTACTTTGCCAAAGTTTTGAATCAGCTTGAGTAATTTGGGAGTGGAAACTATGTGATTCTGTAAATACAAGATCATGTCATCTGCAAAGAGGGAGAGTTTTACTTCTTTTTCCCTATTTGGATCCCCTTTATGTTTGCATCTTGTGTCATTGCTGTAGCTAGGCATTCTAATACTAGATTGAAGAGAAGTGGAGAGAGTGGACATCCTGGTCTCTTTCTTGCGGTAAGAGGAAATGGCTTTATTTTTTCACCATTAAATATAATGCTGGCTGTACGTTTGTCGTATACAGCCTTTATTGTATTGAGGAATTTTCCATGGATTCCTAATTTTTCCAAAACCTTCATCCTAAAGGGGTGTTTGATCTTGTCAAATGCTTTTTCTGCATCTATTGAGATAACCATGTGGTTCTTATCCTTGCTGTTGTTGATGTGATTAAATATATTAATTGATTGGCGTATATTAAACCTGCTTTGTGTCCCTGAAATGAATCTTGTTTCATCATGTTGTATAATTTTGTGTGGGCTCTGCTTTGAAGGCCTTGTAGAATTTTGCTGTTAAACCATCTGGTCCAGGGCTTTTCTTAGATGGGAGGTCTCTTATTGCAGTTTC